TTTCTCTCATTATTTCTAAATTTGCTATTTTTGAAAGTATCTGAGAGTTCAACGAAAATGAGACCTACGCATCTGTTTTAAGAGTTCATTGTTTTATCCGTGAAAAAATAAAAGAAAAGAATGCAGCGGTTTTTGAAAAAAATCTCCTTTTTATAAATTGCATTCACTTCAAGCAGAAATTACGCGAAAATATTCGTTTTTATAATTGTACATGGTCTTGTTTGACGAGATGATTTGTTTAGAACATATTTTGTTTACGGCAAAAATCTCTATTTTCAACTTTGTAGAGTTAATTTTAGCACATAAGTTAACACTTAAGTTTTGAAGAGTTAACTTTTTACAATTTTCGAATTTACAAAGAGTACTCTGAAACTAAGACTAGCATGATTTGTTTTCCATCCTTTGACACATACGAGGAGTTTTTAAAAATTGGGGCCTTTTTGGAAACATGTTAAAAAAATAAAAATTGTTTACATTTTGCACAAAATTACGTAAAAACTATGCATATTTTCGAAAAATTGTTTACGATCTTATTTCAAAATTTGTCTTAAGAACAGATTTTATTCTCGAAAGAATTCTCTATCCTCAATATTGTAGTTGTAATACTGCTTCAAAAAATTTGGAACTTTTTCAATTTCTTTGTTTTAGGGATTTAAAGGCAAACGAGAATTGTATTTCTCTTAAGTGTCCTTTACACTATCAGACGACAAAGTTTAATAAAAAATAGATCCATTTTTGGGTGCCAATTAGTAAATAGAAAAGAAAACCAAAAAAGAAGGAAAAAAGAAAAAAAGATGGTAGACGATCATTAAGAGAGAACGATATAATCTTCGTGCAAACGTGACTTAAATGTGTGAATTGACAACAGCAGCAGGTAGACGCTTTCGGTGATCAACAAATCTATTCGACAGGAAGAACTTAAACTGATTGCGCAAAAAAATTGTCATCGTTGAATTGAATTGTTGCCTTATTTTACGTGGCGCGACTCAGGCCATCAGGCCCGCTCTTCGGACACTGACCACGCAAAATTTCGCTACGCTTCCTTTCACCATAGCGGAGAAAGAGGGTATTTCTTGGGCGACAAACAGGCGATTTTGAATTTCAGCTGTGCGCTGCAATTTAGAGAATGCAGTAAATCAACTAACACAGAACACCGCTTTACTTCCCTCGAAGGAAGGCGACGAAGATTTTTTCGCGCTAGAAATCAACGACTTAGACGCGAAGGTGTTTGGGTGTAATAGTCCAATATGCTAACCGTTACACCATCGCTGCCACCAACACCATAACCACTGCCATTGTTCATTGTAATTGTGACCAGGTATATTGTTGGTACGAACGTATGTTTCAGTTCACCAACACCATGGACCTGAGCGTCATATATATTCTTGCGGGGATACTGATTCCCCTGTGGATCCTGTGGAGGTCACGTGATCCGAAGGAAAAACACTTGGCGCAGGCGATCGAGAAACTGCCTGGCCCCACCCGGCTGCCCGTCCTCGGGACGGCTTACATCATGATCGGGGTGACGCGGGAAGGTGAGACGAGGGGCCCGACAGACGGGGATGTCAGAGAGATGACAGACGGTGACGCTACAGAGACCTCTCTCATTTGCAGGGCTTTGGGACAAAATCGACGAGGTTATACATAAATTCTGGCCGCTATTCAGAACTTGGAATGGGTCGATTCCTGAGATCCAAATCATGGAAGCTGATCATATGGAAGTAAGATATACCATTACGATTTTTTTACCATTACGATTTATTAAACGACAATTTATTACGTTTTTTCACCAGCCATTTAGCAAGATATATTCTTATCTAAGGTGGGAAGTATGATACTTTAAACGTTGTTTATTTTTTTATGTATTAATGGTGGCATCACCAAGCTGTTGTATATATATTTTACAACAGTGTAACAAGTTATACAATAATTAAGTTTAGTGGAGTCACAATTCTATAATTTGAAGCTCAAATATAGATCACAGATTGTACAAATTCATACACACATAGGCTACATAGATAAACATACATGTATATGTACACACATTTTCGCAAATTTAGTATATACTGAGGTGATAACAGTCATGGGATACTTCCTAATATCGTATCGGACCTCCTTTAGCCGAGTGAAGGGCAGCAACTCGACGTGACATGGACTCAAGTCGTTAGACGTCCACAGCAGAAATACTGAACCGTGCTGTCTCTATAGCCGTCTATAATTGCGAAAGTGTTGCTGGTGCACGATATTGTGCACGAACTGACATATCGATTATGTTCCATAAATGTTTGATGGGATTTCTGTCGGGAGATCTGGGTGGCCAAATCATTCACCCAATTGTCCAGAAGGTTCTTAAAATCAATCGTGAACAATTGTAACCCGGTAGCATAAGGTATAGTCAGAAAATTTAATCATTATTTGGAAACACTGAAGTCCATGAATGGCTCCAAATCGTCTCTCCGTAAGGGAAACATAACCACTTCCAGTATATGATTGGTTGTTTGATCAGAAGATCCAATCCATTCCATGAAAAATCAGCCCACACCATGGTGGAGACACCACTAGCTTACACAGTGCCTTGTTGACAATATGAGTCCATGGCTTCGTGGGGTCTGTGCCACACTCGAATCCTACCATCAGCTCTTACGAACTGAAATCAGAATTAATTTAACCAAGCTAGAGTTTTCCAGTCGTCTAGGGTGCAATCAATATGGTCACGAGCTCAGGAGACGCGTTTCAGGCGATGTGCTGTTAGCAAGGGAACTAGAGACGATCTTCTGCTGCCATAGCTCGTTAAAGACAAATTTAGCTGGCCTGTTCTTACGGATACATTTGCCGTGCGTCCCTCACTGAATTTTGCTGTTATTTCATGCAGTGTTGCTTTTCTACTAGCACTGACAGATCTACGCAAATGCCGCTGCTCTCAGTCATAAAGTGAAGGCCGTCGGCCACGGCGTTGTCCGTGTTGAGAGGTTCTGCCAGAAATTAGGCAGTTTTCTAGGCACCCTCTTGGCACTCTAGATCTCGGATTACTGAACTACCTATTTCCGAAATGTAATGTCCGAAATGTAATGCTAGTTGTACTTGTCAGACTCATTGGTCTATAGCTTTTTGGTTCATTTGGTCTCTTTTATTGAAAAAAAGGAGACACGACAGATTTTCCCACTCATATGGTAACGAGCCTAATTCTAATGATCTGTTCTGTAGATGGACCAAGATTCTGGTGTATCTCTCTTCGATAGCTGGTAACGGAATTTAAGGATCAACAGTACATACAAAATTCTTCAAAATTGTTTGAATAGCATTCCTCCGCTCATTCATTACAAAATCCAAAGAACAAACATAGGGAAATCAATTTTACAGTTAGTTTGTTTATGCAGTATATATGGCAAATATATTTTATTGCCATCCTGAACAAATTCGTGGTTTTGTGTATGCTTTTTTAAATTAGAGGTGAGATTATTTGAAATGTTCATGTATATAGTGTATATTTCATCTGTCTGGTTTTCTATTATTTGCCCATTCTCAACATTTAAGGGTGCTTTTTTATGAACTCGCGATTAATCCAAGGTTTATTTAAATCTATTCTCTTCATGGTATCTGGTGAGTAAATACATATAGAGATAAATTATTATACCATAATTGCCATAATTACATTATCATTTTGATCATTGTTTGGCCTCAGAATCGGGGGTATATTGATATAATTAATTAGCACTAAATATAAAATCACTTGATTTACTCTACATCTCGTAAGACCAAAAACCTTCCAAATTAGATTAATTCCACAAAGTGTTTAATAAATTATCTTTCAATTTTGTGTGGAATTGCTCCAAATTTAGTTCAAGTGATTGTAAAACATTTTTAATTTTCTAAAAGAGATCAAAATCTGATTGCCGGGACCAGGAGTCAAATGTTGATGGTTTATATATATTCTATCTACAGCGTATATTGTGTTGTAATATTCTAGTTTTAAGACGAGTTCTTCCACATGAGGTTTCTGTATTTCACACATGTTTTCTGCTTTCCGTTGTCCTTACAATATTTTTTTTCATGCACATAATTACTCCTCTCTACGTCTTTCCAGCTTGCCCCTACGATAAATGTAAAAACCATGTACATGTGTTAGGGAGATAGGGATGTTCAAATTCGGTATTCTGACCTTACTCTACATCGAGAGATTTTTGACATTCATTTTTTTTCTCCAGCCAATTCTAAGAAGTTCGGTTAATATCAAAAAAGGATATGTCTACAATTTTCTACAGCCCTGGCTGGGAACTGGCCTTCTCACTAGCAGCGGTAAGCATTAAGAGGCGCAATGATTCAGTGTATTTCCAGAAAAGATAAGCAATTACTGAAAATAAGGACTCCT